ACTTCTCCACTGCAGGTCGGGCTGCAGCTAAGGTAGCTGCCACCAAAGACACCAAGGAAACGCCACCACTGCTGCCAGAATAACCATTGCTGCCACCTCCAGATTTGCCACCTGGAGCAGCAGCAGCAGCAGCAGAACCACCAAAGTGTCTTTGTGCTCATCAGCAGGAGCACAGAGGCTCCCAGGCTGACCCGCTCTCTTCCTGAGCCTTAAGGAGTGAGCGGAATGGGTCGGTGGCCTGGGGAAAGCTCGCCACAATCATGCCACTGGTGGGCTTCAGACGGGGGGGGGGGGACTCCAAGGCCTCTGCAAGCTGCGAGTCACAGGTGGCTCCCGAGTCTCAGTTTGGCCACCCTTGTTCTAATCAAAGGGCAGGGCAGCTCTGCCTTCGGCCTATTGCACTACACACGCCCAGACCTGTTCCTACATATCCCAAAGCACAAAGCTCTCGCTCTCAGTGACTGAGCCCGGGGACAAGCATTTCAGCCCTTCAGAAAGGGGAGAAACTGCACAAGAGCTGAAAATTACACAATGATGGGTGGTGAGAGGAAACAGGTGCTGCTCAGGGAAGGAGCTGTGGTCATGGGCATCTAGAGAACCTCAGAGTACCAGAGCGGAAACATACGAGGGATGGCATTGGACGCTGAACATGAAGTCCGCCATCAAAATGTCCATGCCTTCTCTCTGCATTTCTTCCTACCCAATTCCTTGCAGGCACAGGGCTGTTTGTGAATATTTCCTACTGCAACTATACCGGAGGTTGGAAATGCCAGCCACCCTCAATCTTATTTTTTCAGGGTGAGGTTGCAGCTGTTTGAGAAAGGCTTGCCTGACAGACAGCCCTTGGGAGAGTGTACGGGGTAATTTCACTGGTGACTCACTTGTACTGGAAACAAAAGGGGGCCCCAAAAAGCAGTGATGGCATATTGCTTCTTTTTTGCTTCTGTGGCTGGTAAAAGGAGCTGATTCAGGAAGAGGAATGGATAACGGGAGATGTCGAAGTTGAAGATGGTGGGACCTCGAAAAGCACAATTCATTTCCTGCCCTCCAAGCATACATAGCACTGCCTTAAGGTCACAGTGACCCTCATTATCTTGCTCTTAAGCTGGAGCTCGGTTCTTAACAGAATCCTCAGCTCACATTTACATCACCGAGCTAGAAATATCTATACTGTATTGCATCGTGGCAGTAAACCTCTGTGACCAGTCGGCTGAGCTGGTGTGAGTTCACAGAATATCCAGCTGTTGAGCGAGTAAAGCAGTTGGCAATCCATCTGTTGCAAGGAAGGGACCCTTTTGGTTAGGCCAAGACCCAAACCTCTCTCAGAAGCAGGCTAGGGACGGAGGAGAGGCCTCGACTGACGGCTGCAAAGGCACAAGGAACCTCAAGGTAAGGAAACTGAAGGAAAGAGTGCAAACTAGGCAAAGGACTGAGAAAAAAATAGCTTTGGGGGAGGATACTTGGAGAATGAGGCAAGAAAGTATCGAGGTGGCAGGAAAGTGAGGCACAAGGGAGCTAATCAGAGCAGGGACTCTGAAGAAATGTCCCAGCCCTTCGGAGAAGGATGGGAAGAAATGCGGTTGCGGCTGGACAAGAGCCATGATGTCAGCGAGCAGTGGAGCCAAGTGCGTTGAAAAGCAGGGAACTGAAGGAACGGGGGACCGTGGAAATATGGGATGGAGGAAAGAAGTCCATGTGAACAAGAGAGTAGTCGGGGACTCCTAGCAAGAGGACGGGCAAAGCTGGTTCGAGAACTGATCATTCCAGACCAGAAAACTGGGGGGGGGGGGGAGTCTAAGGGCTAGAATTGTCACAATTTTACAAGCTGGGGCTTTATTCATCACTGCTGCCTTGTGACCCAGAAACATGAGGCTGGCAGAGGGGGCAAAAAGCTGTGTTGTGAAGCACAACCCCCCCACTCCTTTTATTTTGATTTATATGCTGCTACACCAGCTCATGTCTGGGCTCTTTGTGCAGCAATTTTAATAATCTTTTAGTAAGAGATTATTCAAATAGGCAATACCTTCCTCCCAGAAGCAGCCTCCAATGGTACAGTCCTAGAAAAGCATTGCCACTTGCTCCAACTAAATGCTTCATCTGGTCTGTAAAGAAACCATACTTTGGGCACCAGTAAGAGTTGAGAGATGAAAAATTCACTGTGGAAAGAAAATGAAACTGAATATGCCAAGTGCCAGTCACATCAATTTCAAAAAGCTTTGCTTGATTTTTGCTGTTCTTTCTCTCGTGCATGTTTCTGCTGTGTATCTTTGCGGACACTTGTTCCAATTTGAACCGAGCTGTTTGCATAGCCGGGTAAGGCCAATGTCAGCCTACTATTGGAAGAAGCTACCGAGGGAACTAACTAGATAGGAAAATGCCCCCCATGCTCCCAATTTGATCACGTCTTGCGTGAAGGGTCATGCTAGCTTATTGCCAAATAAAGACTTCTTTCTTCATTAACAAAGGGTGACGCGTGTGAGCCATTTCCTCTCAAAAGTGGAGCAGTGAGGACACCTAGTGGCTATTTCTATTTAAGGCACAGGTGTTACAAATAGTAAATAACTGATAGGTTGTAGTTAGTTTTCTCTCCTAGTAGATATAGACCAGAATCAGCCACTCCCAGATGTTTTAGTCACATTCCTGACCCACTTGGAGAATAATTTGATGGAAAGGTAGGCTATAGAACAACTGAACCGTAATAAACTAGTCTTGGTTAGGTAGGAACTTGGCTACCAGCCAGCTTTCCTGTGGCCATGGCACACCCAGCATTCATGCAGGCACCCACCGGGGACCGTGGCCATGCAAATGCTGCACAAGCTGCATCTTCCATACACGTGACTTCAAGCCTTTGTTTGCACTGCACGTGATATCGAGGAAGGTTGCCGGTTGTGCAGACACCTGCAAGCATTCATGGTCTTCCTCACACCTTGACTCACTTTCTAAGACAGGGTGAAGCACGAGAGAAGAGGGAGGGAGGCCCGGGAGCTTCATCACCAACACTACATATATGCCACAGTAAACAAGTTAAGTCATAAGAGGTGCCACGTGGCTGCTTCCACTTTATGCTGCAAAATGCTAACAACTCAAGCAAATCTTCCCGTCAATTTCCACATTAAGAACAGCATTTAAAATTACAACCATTCATACAAACAACTGAGATTCTCTAACAAGAAATACCTCAGTCCTCGTCCTGCAAAAGCCAATTAGTTAATACTATGGAACATTTCCTGTTTCATTACCAAATAGGTCGAAGTGGGACTATCCCCCACCACCCCCAAATCAGCATCTAATTTGCCTACTAGTTTACCATGCTTCAGGTTTTCTTTGACGCAATGAACACATTTTCCATAAGGAAATTTTGCTCTGTAACAGCATACGGCAAGCAATTAGATCACCACCCACACCCCTTCCCCACACAGCCTTTCTGTTGCAATGGAAATGGCATCTGTTCTGGAGGTACAGGAAAACCAGACGGGAACACAAGACTGCGTCCTCAGTGCAGAGCAGAGGAGAGCTATTTCTCAGCCTGTTTCACAACAGGAAAGGGCCATAGGTATGAGAGGCCTGTCAAAATCCCGCACCAGCATTCCACAAGAATACAGGCCAGTCTTCGAAAACAGAATTCAGCTTCATGAAAGTCCACACACAAGAGGGCCCAGCAAGGTAGGGGAGAAGCAAAAGGTTCTAAGCAGCATTTTTGGCAAGGCCAAGAAAATGACCGGAGGCAAAATTATACAGAAGAGGCAAATATGCACACCTGTTTCATTTCATTTCATTCCATCATTCCTAAAGGTTAAGTATCTAAATATGAAACAATGTTGGGTTTCTACTATATTATGTGCATGGCTCCCAGGTGGGGAAAAGTCATTCTTTAGGGTGGATTTTCACAAATGAGTGGATGTGTTGTACTCAAACCCCCATCCTCCCCAAGCCAAGCAAATCACTGACATATTTAAGGCATAGGAAGGCTGGGTGCTGTGCCCTGTTTGGTAAAGCACAGGCAATGCTGAGAACACAACTGACAGGGGAGCAGGATTGGTGGCACGTCCACACCACTCTCCAAGGCCAACCGTGGTTTCTGTGAAGAAAGCCAAGAGGGCCGGCCTGTCGCACCGTGCGCTGGCCTCACCTAGAAATCTCTGTTTGGCCACTTGGATGCAAGGTCTAAAAAGGCTCTGGTGTCCGTCCGTCCCCCCCACACCCCCCAGGTTATCAAGGGGCGACACTGGGGGATGGACGGACCTTGCTGCTCAACCTGCATCTCAGATGGGCAGTAAATAAAGGCAAACATTCCCTTTTGGGAATTGCAAAGGGTTGAATGCAACCCTGTGACAAAGCACAGCTGTATGTTTGAACCGGGCTGGCCAGGGAGATCCACCTTCGGAGTCAAGATGCAGCATGTGTAGCATGGATTTCTGTCAGGGCTGTAACTCTATTAAAGACGTTTTTTACTGACGATCTGCATGAACTTTGATTATTCAAATATATCTGCATACATTTGAGGAAAACACAGATTTTCGCCCTCTGGAGAGGCTTTCCTTGCTGTGGAGCAGGCAGGAGAGAGAGGGGAATGCCTCTACCAAGATACAGGCTGCCATGTGCCATTTTTATGAGTGCTGTATCATAAATAGCCAACCTTGTCAGAAAATGTGTTGCTTCACTGGTACGAAGCAGCTTTTGATATGCTAAAAACATTCTGACTCACTGTATGCTTCAGAAAAATTGAAGACAAGACTGAACAGGAAAGGCGGCTCCGGAAGCAGGTACATGGGGCACTGGCCATGACACGGTCCCGCCCGGTCACCACATTAGTGCGTCAACACAGAAGAGAAATGCGGCAGACGAGACGGAACTTGACACCTCAGGAGAATGCGCAGGAGACCCCATCCGAGTTCTTCCTGCAGCGTTTTCAGGAGCCCCCAACCCAAAAAGCCAGATGGAAGATTTGAAGTGTACGAAAATATCTTACCAAACTGAAGTGGATAGATTTGTATCATTGCTTTGCGAATTTTTTAATAGTTTTATTAACTAGAGAAAGCATAGGATCGCATCTGTCATACAGCCAATACATTTGCAACTTCTACTTGAAATTCTCTATACAAAGTCAATGCAAATAGATAATATTGTTGATGGCATAAAGAGCTTAAAATAACCAAGAGGTATAAAAACAAGTTTGCCACCTTGCCCTGAGTAGAAATTTTGAAGGATACAAAAATCTGGATTCTCGGTGATGCAACTGTCGACTTGGTTATGGCATGCCAGCTTTAGTAACACATACATTCATGCAACCTCAACTGCCCAAGCTTCTATGGTTCAAATCAACTGGGAATACTGACTGAAGGTATGTTCCTGCCATGAGGCATTTATCACATAAGCAACTGGCAGTTCTCTTTGCTGAGCATTTCGTGCTGCATGTAAGTTTCTCCTCAGCTTTACAACCCAGCTGCATTCCATGTAAAAACGTGTACGCAAGTGTTTCACCTACAAGGATCTCCCGATGAGATGTGCCCTTGTGCCACAGGGGAGAAGTGCTAGAATCCTCCCTTCAGAATAATCAACATGATTTTGCTCATTTGGGGTGGATTCGACTAAGGATAGGCTGAATAACTGCATAAGTGGAGCCCCACCTCCAGGCTCCCCGAAATGCATAGGGTTGCTCAGGGAGACAGTGTCCATGCCTCCATGAAAATCCAAGGGAAGCTCGACAGAGCTATGTGAGCCTTCCAAGGAGGAGAAGACATAGCAGTAATTACACCAAGACCACAATCAAAAGTTTGCTTGCTGGTGTCAGCTTCCTGCAACTACAGAACCAAGTCTGAAGGTGTAAAACTTACTAAAAAGTTCGACATCTTTCTGCTGAGAGCAAGGTGGCAAAGACATTTTCTCTTTAAAACCTGGTTAAGAGATTAAGCAGAGAGGAAGTAAAATATATCTTCCAGTAATAAACAAAATGGTATTTTACAATCCACCATCCTCACTCTTGAACAGCTACAGCAGCAAGGCCTCAGTCCAGCGGCTGGGGATCTGCAATGGGCATGGTATGCAGTACTTCATCCAGGAGCTGGAGGGCACGATGCAGATGGATTTCAATCCAGCAAGGTGTCTCTTTAATGCTCTGTCTTGGGTAATCGGGTCCCCAGCCTTTGACAAAACTCATTCTGAGGATGCACAAGCGCCGAAGGTCATCCACACCAATCCCAGCAGCAGCCGACAAACCTGAAAAAGTAGAGAACCACAGTAGGTGCTTCTTACCTTTAAGAGTCAGACTCCCATTTGCTGACGACAAACCATCCTTGAGCAGCCTGTGCGCTCCAGCCTCCACCAACAATGTTTGCCATTGGTACTTCTAGAGCTAACCAAATATCCCTTTTAAAATGCCTTTCCTGAAGTCAGCAGAATGCTTGCTGGCACTTACAAATGTTCTTGGAAAGCTTATACCAGGGACAATAAACCCCTGGTCTACAGGCCTAATAAAGCTTGCAGGGGTTCCTCAGACCTATTCCTTCCCATCCACAGCCCAGAGAGAGCTGCTCTTACCTGTAATCAACAACTGACTGGAGATAAGAGCTTTTCCCTGCTTATACTTACTTCTGTGTAGACATCCTTCCTACTATAAAGTGACAGTGATGAAATGAGGGGCTGGATTTCTCAGCACCATCTATTTCTCTATGGGGCCCCACCTACAATAGTATTATTTAATCAATCGATAGACTATTTGACTTTGACCTGGTTCATACTTAACTACAATCCACCAGATTAAAAACCACGGGTATTGTCATGCATAAGTGGGGGCAAGTGAGTGTACTACTGCATATCTACTTCTACCTGACAACCTACAGTTGGCTCTTTCACAGGGCGTGGCCAATACACCATGGAAATCTAGCCACTGGGCTGTTTAGGGGCTAAAAAAACTCCGCAATTAACCTATGGTTTAATGGATATGCTAGTTGTGAAGTGCAAATAGGTCCTACATATATCTTAAAAATGATCTTAAAGAAAAATCCAGCCCCAAAGAGATTCTCCAAAATGGAACCTGACCCTCAGGCCAAAAACAATTCCCTACCCCTCGATTTATCTGAGTCCTATATTCAGGAAGCACTTCAAAGAGAATTCCTGGCATACTAGACTTCAGCATTCAAGCTTCTTTCATCATATTTCAGTTAGAAATCCTAATTATGCTTTTCAACCCCCCAATCTGACCTGCAGAATTTTTTAAAGCATCTTCCAGCTAGAAAATGTAATCCAGTTTTAAAAAGCAGCAGATACAGTGGCTTCATCTGAACTGCTGCTTCTGCCTTCCTGCGTCAAAATGTTTAAGAATTGCACCTTCTGAATTCCAATGGGAAACAAATTCTGTAAATTCTCTCACACTCAACACCTACCAACTTCACCACAAGGGCATATTCAGTTGAAGCGGGATGAAACAACTTCTCTGATGAAAAAGAGGAAGATGTACAGTGACTCCAGTCAGACAACACTCAAAAACATGGCAAAGTATGACTGAATTGTCAGCTGGCAACACCGAATTCTGAAGCAATGGTTTGAAGTGGATTTGCAAGCTGTGGTGTGCACCACGCTGGAACTTATATACCATAACTCTACCTCCAGAGAACGATACGCCTGAACACAGGTGCACTGCGTGGCGATCAAATGGAGTATGAAAGCAAATAAGCTACTGTAAACCATGGTTTGCACATATACTTGGAAACTGAGCTGAGATGTTTCAATGAATTTCATGCTTCCCTGCCCCAGAGTGTTGTTGACTATTTTAAAAAGTGCAAGCAGCTGCAGATGATCTATTTTATGCCTCACTTACTGATGGCGGGAGCGATTCCCCCCACAGATCCTGGTCCAGGGATGTTTCCTGCAACTGCGGCAGCCTGAGCAGCAGCTGCAGCCTGAGCGGTAGCTGCCTGCTGCTGCATCTGACGGTGACACTGGCGTAAATCAAACACCTGAAACAGAACCAGCATTTATCGCACATATCCAGTAGCCTAGAAAAGAACACCTGCCAAAACAGGAACAAAACTACAACAAAAACCAATGGAATCCCCCGTCACCTTGGGCTCCCACCATGGGCAGACAAAGAGCTCTGAAAATGAAGGTGTGACCCCACAACTTACAGGACATTTGAGCAACTTATAGTGCACGCCCATGCAAGCTTACTCAGAAGTAAGTGGCACCTTGTTCCATGGGGTTCACTTTCTAGTGTAAATTCTACTTGTAAATTCACTAACATGCACACTGCAGGTGTGTCATGAGCGGAGCTGGCTGGAGCCAGGGGGTCAGACTAGATGGCCCAGGAGGCCCCTTCTGACTCTCTCTGTTTCTAGTGTGTGTGTGGGACCACAGTCTGTTTATTTCTAGAGCATACTGCTATTTTGCCATTCCCTCTACTTTTTCAGCCCCTTTTAAAGTCCAAATGTCATTGGTGGTGTAAATTGTATAAAACACCACAGGGCTGTGCCTGTTCTGAGGATGAATAGAATGACCAGGAAACAAGCAGGAGCCCCTCAAAAGTCTACACTGCAGTGGTGACTGCCGCAAGGAATGGCTGTTGTTTGCAGACTCCTGCTCTGAGTTAGGGCTCACTTTTGTGGGTGGCTGCAAGCTATGCAGGTAAACGGTCTAACAAGCCTATGCAAACTAAACTGGAGCGAGCACCCCTAAAATTCTAGGACTTAATTGTAAGTAAAGGAACAACACCTGGCAGGAGACCGCGCCCGCGCCCGAGAACCGCACCGCGCCCAAAGACCGCGCCGCGCACGCGCCCAAAGACCGCGCCGCGCACGCGCCCGAAGACCGCGCCGCGCACGCGCCCGAAGACCGCGCGAAGACTGCGCCGCGCCGCCGACTCCGCCGCTACCTGACTGCCCTGCCACGCCCCTGCACACGTGGCAGGCATGCCCGGACGGGGTGGGGCGTCGGGCGGCCCGCGGCTACAAAGCACCAGCAGCGGCCGGGGCCGGCGGCCAAAGGGCGTCGGCCAAAGGGCGGTTTGCCGCCGTTTGGGGGGGCTGTTCGGGGGGGGGCTAGGCTGGCCAGGGGACTTGCTCTTTTGTTGTGGCAGTCCCTTCTGTTGAACGGCCAATTTTAAATGTTTTATAATTTTAAAGTGTTTTAACTTGTTTTTATGGAGTCGTCCCTGGCCATGTTGCCGCCTGAGTTTCCTGGGGAGCGCACTGGCGCCGCCATTGGTGTGGTGATGGGCAATGGACGTAATAGCGGTGGGGGCTTAACGTGTCTGCATAGAAGAAGGAGGGACAGATGGCTGACACCTGTCCCTACTTCTGGTTTTGCTCCCAGCCAGAAGGTGCCAGGGAGTCTTGTCAGTCGCCCCTCGGGCCTGACGGTGCTGTTGTTTAATGCCAGGTCGGCCAATAACAAATCTGCCCTCATCCATGACTTGATTGTGGATGAGGGGGCCGACCTGGCCTGTATAACGGAGACCTGGGCGGGAGAGGGGGGGGATGTTGCCCTCTCTCAATTGTGCCCGCCCGGGTATATGGTCCAGCACTGTTCACGGCCGGAGGGGAGGGGAGGGGGGGTCGCTTTGGTTTACCGGGCCTCCATCACTCTCACGGGACTTCCTGTCCCTTCGAGACCAGGGCTGGAGTGTCTCTACTTGGTGTTGGGCGACCGAGACAGATTGGGGATTCTGTTGGTGTACCGTGCACCCTTCTGCCCAACAGTCTCCCTGCCTGAGCTGACGGAAACGGTCTCGGACCTGGTGTTGAGGACCCCCAGGATGCTGGTCCTGGGGGACTTCAATATCCATGCCGAGGCTAGTTTGACCGGGGCGGCTCAGGACTTCATGGCTTCCATGACGGCCATGGGGCTGTCTCAACATGTCACCGGCCCGACCCATGAACGTGGACACACTCTGGACCTGGTTTTCTCGACGGGGCAGGAAGAGGGTGGTCTGAGGGTGAGGAATTTATGCTTGACTCCCCTGTCATGGTCAGATCACTTCCTAGTGAGGTTTGTGCTCGAGAGCGACATCTCCCTCTGCAAGGGTGCAGACCCGATTGTGTGGGTCCGCCCCCGGAGCCGGATGGATCCAGAAGGATTCCTGAAGGCTCTGGGGGAGTTTCCGGCTGACAAGACGGGTGCTCCTGTCGAGGCTCTGGTTGAACTGTGGAATGGGGAGATGACCAGGGCTGTAGACACGATCGCTCCTAAGCGTCCTCTCCCATCGGGCAGAGCCCGCTCTTCCCCTTGGTACACTCCAGAATTGAGGGCAATGAAGCAGGTTGGGAGACGTCTAGAGCGTAGGTGGAGGAAATCACGTGATGAATCTGACCGAACACACTTAAGAGCCCACTATCGGGCCTATGCTGTGGCGGTGAGGGCGGCGAAAAAGAGACACTTCTCCGCTTCCATTGCCTCCTCACAATGCCGTCCGGCGGAGCTCTTTCGAGTGGTGCAAGGCCTGGTTCACCCAGGGCCAAAGGAAGAGCTGATTCCACCCTCAAAGGCCCGCTGTGACGACTTTGCCGAGCATTTTAGGGAGAAAATCGCTCAGATTCATCACGAGCTGGATTCCACTATTGATTCAGAGGTTTTAAGGGAGACACCAACGCTACCGTCTGGTCCAGAATTATTGGATGAATTTCAGTTATTGCGGCCCGATGATGTGGACAAGGTGCTTGGACGAGTACGTCCTACCACTTGCCTTCTGGACCCTTGCCCGTCTTGGTTAATAAAGGATTCCAAGCACGGGATTGGAACCTGGATCTTGGAAGTGGTTAACGCTTCTCTGAGGGAGGGTCGGGTGCCTGCTCCTTTAAAGGAGGCGGTAGTCCGACCGGTCCTGAAGAAGGCGTCACTGGATCCAGGGATGGCCGCTAACTATAGACCAGTGGCCAACATCCCGTTTCTGGGCAAGGTGTTAGAGCGAGTGGTGGCGGGACAACTCCAAGCACTCTTGGATGAAACTGATTATCTGGACCCATTTCAGTCCGGCTTCAGACCCGGGTATGGTACTGAATCTGCCTTGGTCGCCCTGTACGATGACCTGTGCAGGGAGAAGGACAGGGGGAGTGCGTCCCTGTTGGTTCTCCTGGACCTCTCAGCGGCTTTCGATACCATCGACCATGGTATCCTTCTGGATAGGCTGGCGGGATTGGGGGTCGGAGGCACCGCTTTGCGGTGGTTCCGCTCCTATCTCAACGACCGATTCCAGAAGGTGGTGTTGGGGGACTATGGCTCTGCGCCATGGCAGCTTTGCCATGGGGTACCGCAGGGTTCCATTTTGTCCCCTTTACTGTTCAATATCTACATGAAACCGCTGGGAGAGGTCATCAGGAGGTGTGGGCTGCGGACCCATCAGTATGCTGATGATACCCAGCTCTACCTCTCGTTTTCCACCAATCCAGGTGAGGCAGTGGCTGTACTGAACCGGTGCCTGGCCGAGGTAATGGGCTGGATGAGGGCCAATAAACTGAAGCTCAATCCAGACAAGACGGAGGTCCTGTTGGTTGGCGGTTCGGGCTTCGGAGAAGGTGACCTGAACCTTGTCCTGAATGGGGTTGCACTCCCTCCTAGGGACAAGGTCCGCAGCTTGGGAGTGCTCCTCGACCCGGAGCTTTCACTTGAAGCTCAGGTGACAACAGCGGCGAGGAGCGCTTTCCTCCAGCTTCGGCTGATTCATCAGCTGCGCCCCTACCTGGAGTACGACTGCCTTGCAACAGTGACTCATGCACTGGTGACTTCCCGTCTTGACTTCTGTAACGCGCTCTACGTGGGGCTACCCTTGAAGACGGTCCGGATACTTCAATTGGTTCAGAATAGAGCTGCCAGGCTGCTGACGGGGACTGGACGTTATGTTCACATGACACCAGTTCTCCGTCAGCTTCACTGGCTCCCCATTGAAGTCCGGGCCCAATTCAAGGTGTTGGTAATGACCTATAAAGCCCTAAACGGCTTGGGTCCTGGTTACCTGAAGGAGCGCTTACATCCATATTTGCCCAGTCGCCCCCTGAGATCGGCGGGAGAGGCCCTTCTCCGGGAGCCCTCCGTGAGAGAAATTAGGAGGGTGGCTACTCGGAGAAGGGCTTTCTCAGCGGTGGCGCCTAAGTTATGGAATGCGCTCCCCAGAGAGGTCCGCCTGGCGCCGTCGTTATTTGTTTTTCGGTGCCAGGCTAAGACCTTTTTATTTAAGCAACATTTTAAATGCTAAATACAATTGAATTTTATCTGGCCAGGGCGGCTTATTTTATAATGTGAGTTTTAATTAAGATTATTTTATATGGATTTTAACTTGTTTTATCTATGTTGTAAGCCGCCCCGAGGCTTCGGCGAATGGGGCGGCATAAAAATGTTTTAATAATAAATAAATAAATAAATAAATAAAGATGTATAGGTTTGTGCACAGAATTGTGTTGTGTGTTTAAGTAAAAAATGCTGGGATTACCACATGGAGCAGAGGCCACAGACCAGACTGCTTCAGCTGAACAGCAGCCACAGAACTCCAGGCTAAACTTTCTAGGAGACTGCTGGGCCCCATTTGGCAAACTGATTTTATAAAAAATTCTTTCAAGACTCGTTGACATTTGCAAGAGTCTTTGTCATTTGTGACTATTTCAGAACTGGCACCAGAAACTGGATACAATTCTACCTTAGTTCCTCAACGCCATATAAAAATGGACTCTTCTGTCACCCTTATCCAATCAATTCTCATTTCTCTGTAAAGCTGAATCTAGCACAGAAAGCTACCTACAGCATTAACCAGAGTTAATGTGTGCCAATTTATTTTCCAGTATTTATCCTGAGCATAAAGTTTTCAAGATCTGGCCACAAAGTAGACACAGCACTGACTTCAGGAGCAAAAGACTATAACCAAGCTAATAATGGTGGCTTCTATGGGAAGGCACAGAGACAGCTTAGGGCCCAAATTAGCTGAAACTATTTTTCTGTGAGAGAATTTTTATGAATGGCTGAGCGTGAATCGAAGTAGGGTACAAATGCTGATTGAAGCACAGGCCCCAGCAGATCGGAAGCTGCCTGGAGGAGGTGGACCACAGTAAGGAGGCATCCAACACAATCTCATTTCTGATCTGTCCCATGGCCCTCAGACACTGTACCAGGATTGCTCTGCTCCAAGTGGTTTATCCTCAAGTACCCAATTTTTCCTCAAGAATATTTTTGCTCTAAGTCTGATAACAATTTTGGAGCCACTGCTTGAAATATTAGCCTACAAAGAGAATGAACAGTACAATTTTTGCCTCTGATGATTCCCCAAAGAATCAGCTCCCCTTCCCTCCCTGTTTTCATATGCAAGTACTTTAATTTCTTCTGTAGGCTATGCTGAGAAAGAACAAACTCCTTTCACTATTAGTTATAGCAGCAAAGACGATTAAATCATTTCTTCTAACAGTTAAACTTGCCAGGGAAAGCCTCTAAAAACATCTCTGTATCTATATATGCTGTCAGTACACATTTATGTTTTTAAACTGTTCATTTGCTAAGTTTGACTAAGCTGCCAAATGATCCATCTGTGTCTTTCAAGATGCCTGTTTAACACAATACATATTCACACAAACCTTTATATATGCACTTGGATAAATTTTGTGAACTGCATCGCCTGGCGCACGTCCTGCTTCTCGGTCTAGATAGTAACTCTGAACAAAAACTGCATGGTCACTAAGACACCGAACCCAGACGTCCCCTTCACCTTTGCACTCCAGCTGCACACCTTTCCCTATATGCAACCTGGGGAAAAGACAAAACAAGAATATTCCAAGCGACTCAGTACGAGGAGGAAACACTCACGAACGACACAGCCCACAGCACTCAGACGTTCTCCACCTGGCCCTCTGCAGCACCACCCACCTTCTTGCTGCAGCCCAGCTGACCAGCTGCCAGTTGGGCAGTGGGAACAGCATGCTGTTCCAGCGCAGCAACTCAGATCACCGTGCCCCCTCCAAATAAACCCTAGCGGTTCCCCCACTGCTGATCATTTTCACTTCCCTGCCCCTACTGATCCCACTCCCCCATCTCAGCAGGTGGGGCAGCTTTTACCACTGTGAGCTGAGATAGAGGGGGCGATGCAAGTGTGTGGATGCCCGCGTACAGCTCCTGATGCACACCCAGGAAGCGTGAACATTGCCCAGCTGACTTACAGAAGACATTCTGGGACAGAGGGAGCTTCTCCTCCCCCACTTTCAATAAGATCTCTCTGTGCTACTTATTTCAGCTGCTGTGCTCAAAACGTCATCTTGTCAAGGACAGCACAGGCCCCTGGGAAACTCCACTCTGGAGAATTCACAGTTTTGAACAGTGGTCCCCAATGCTGTTAATGCTTCTGGGAACTTAAGTTTGCTAGTGGCCGAGTTTAAGTACACTGAATGTGCTTAATGCTTCAATTTAAAAAAATCTGTGCTTGAGTTCCTTGGAAGGAAAAAAAGATGGATACAAGTTGATTCTTATATAAAAGATAAGTATAAAAGTATAAAAGCTTCTTATTATTTATTTCTATACCACTGAACAGTGAAAACTCTCAGGTGTTTTACAACAGTCCACAAAAGCAATCCAGTAAAATGCCATACAATCTTATCAAAAATACCAAGACTTTAAATGAAAAATTAAGAGCTGCTAAAACTACATACACTGAAGAAGAGCCCTGTAAAAGACTTCTGGGGTAGGTAATCCCTCGAAGTTCTTAGCTATCCCATTATATAAGCCTCAGCATAAATGGCCATCTTAACTTAGTGCCAAAAAGACAATGAGGTTCCCAGCAGGTGGGTCTTGGTAGGGCAGCCACTCAACAGATGGAGCCACCACACGTTCTCCCCTCTCGTTGCTGCAAGCCTCCTTCAAGGAATGTAACTGGAGGGAGGCCATGAATGTTGAGCGTACTACCCAGGCTCCATCAAGCAGTGTACTCCTAAGCCAAGTAATTCTTTTTACGGGTTAAGCCCAGCACCTTGAACTTCAAAGCATACAGGCGGGGCAGCTGACCTGCCCTCAACCTCACCGGGCTGTTGTAAGGATAAGACTGATAAGAGGACCAGCACTATTTAAGCCAGGGGTCTCAAACTCGTGGCCCGTGGGCCAATTGCCGGGACGGGCGGGGCACAGGGGAGGGGCCCTGCGGCCTTCAAAGCGCCAGTGGCGCCCGGGCCGGCCTCCGGGAGCAACGCAGGATGAGCGGCCCACCACCACCGCGGTGGTGGAATGCTTGATGCGGCCCAGCCTCACCCAGACTCTACTTCCAGCAGCCCCCAGGTAAGTTGAGTTTGAGACCCCTGATTTAAGCCAGTTGAGTTCGGGGGGGGGGCACTATAAATGTAATAAATAAATGTAATCTTGAATGTTTAGCCTTACATGTCTTATAGTGGTCTTATATGTTCCCTGACTGAAATGGATCCAGATAAACATTCTCAGTTCTGGAGTGGAAATCACCTGCTAAAGAACCTTGTGCAGAAAAGGAGCATTTGCTACCACCCTAAAGTTATTAAGACCTTCCAGATCAAGGGAGGATTTTCTTCAGGAGTTTCTGTCAGCTGGCATGAGATTGCTCCCTCTTGCAAGGAGGCCTTACTCACCTCCCTGGACCAACCAGTTGTTCCTTCCTTGCTGGCTTTCAAAGCCAGTAGGGGCAAGAATCTAATACAGATGTGGTTGCACCATCCTGGCCAAGCACTCTTTCAACATCTTCGAGCTGTACCAACTGAAAATAATCCAGTAAAACTGGAAGCAAGCTCACTCAACTGCTTTAACTCTAGAGTCCTAAAGGCAGTGGGTGAAGGATATCTTTTCATGGAAGTGCTTAGCAAATGTATCAAATGGATATAAAATGTGCTTGGAGCCAGCATGTAAGAGGCCCCAGACAACCCTAAAAAGCTCCAATGAGGACTGAATGGAGACAGTGAGCTGTTATCTCTTTGCCACCCTTAATGGCCCTGGTTTGGAAGGGATTGTCCCCTAAGGGACAGGGTGCATAGCCTGGAAGTACTCCTTGACCCAGAGTTAACTCTGGAATTCCAGGTGACTGCCATGGCAAGGAGCACTTCCCATCAGTTTCGGCTGGTCCATCAACATCTGGATGGGCAGAGCCTAGCAACAGAAATCCATGTTTTGGTAACCTCCCAAATGAATTAGTCTAGCATGTTCTACATATACTTCAGTTAACGTGCTCTACATATACGGAACAGAGCTGCAAGATTTCTCACTAGGACTGGCATAAGTGATCATATCACAGCAGTCCTATATCATCTTCATTGGTTACCAAATGAAGTCCAGGCCCAATTTAAGGTGTGAACTTGTAATTACTCCCACATGAGTAAGTAGGTAGTTTACTGTATTATGCCATAGGCCATTATAAATTGACAGAGCCATGAGATACAATTTAACAAAGGGGAAGCTTAAAAGTGATAGGCCATCGAAATTAAAACTAGAATAGTTAAAAAAAGATAAAAGGTAAAACTGGACCAGTCATGCATCAAGAAACTAACCCCTATGAAACCTCCCTAGAACTTACCTTCTTAGCTGCAAAGGCAAAGAGAGAGACTCTGTATGACACATGTGCATCCAAGTCTGATAACAGAAATACTATTTCCTCAAGATCAGGCCATGCATTTCTAGCAGATAAAATGCCAGTCAAAATGTGTCTCTTGGCTCTCTATATAGAGAGCAATAGATAATGTAATGAGGAAGGTTCTCCACTTTAAGGGATCCACAGATACAGACATAGTGCTCCACTGCAATTTGAGAATATTGGCCAAACAGGAGAGCTGTATGGTCAAAAAGGATTGTTCTTAAATAATTTATACCAAGGGGAGATGTTAACTTTGACATATAAAGGCTTGAACAGTTTAGGCCCCCGGTATTTGAAGGATCATCTCCTTCCATATGCAGATGCCCGAACTCTTAAGATTTTCCAATGGAATTCCTTCTTCAGGAGCCCTCTTTGAAGGAGGCTGGAAGAGTGACTACCCAGGGAACGGCCTTTTCTGTGGTAGCACCCCAGCTTTGGAATCTGCTTTCCAGAGATGTGCGCCTGGCACTGTTTTATTCTTTTCAGTGTCGGGTCAAAACCTTTTTATATACCCACTATTTAAAGGGCTGATTATTTTATCATAGAGTTGGAATTCTTTTATTATATATGTTATATATGATAGCCATATTTTAATGTGCTCTTAAGCTCTGGTTGTAAGCTGCCTTGAGATCTGCCTGGATAAAGACAGGATAGACATGTTTTTAATGATAATGATAATGATAATAATAATATATGCTTGACTGTAGGCACACACCACAGTTTGACTGCTCCACTAGATTTCCTCCATCTGCACTCAAGGTTTCTCTTATGTTCTCTGGTTGCTCTCAGCACTGAGGTATACCACTAAATAGAGACGCTCTGCATCAGAGAGGCTGTTCAGGAGGGATTTGCTCAACTGCACTGGTCATATGTGCACTGCACAGCTCCACCAGGGCTTCTAAATGCACACGCCTGAGCAGCTGGAAAACCTCCCGGTGCCCTCTGGAAGCCATATGGATGCACTGGACTCTGGGAACAGACCTTCTTAATAGGTCACCCACCACTGCAGAGGGGAAAGGCAACCAGCAATCTGACTCTTAGCAGGCCCTGATGGCCATGACAAAGGGGCCAGATCAGAGCCCCCCACCCTAAGAACATCATCCTCATAACGAAGTCTGACATGTGCTCTGCTACATGTCTTGAATTTTATGCTGTTTTTATTTTATCTGTACGGTGCTTTGTTCTTTTCATGAACTGCCATTTCACCCAGAAAACTTCAGCTATCTGTATTTCAGAAATGAAGTAAGTAACAACTCTCCACTCCAAATAAGATTTGTTTTAGGTAATCTACAAGCTCTTTATGGCAGCAGCAAAACACCTAAACTGAACCTAACACTAACATTATGGGAGGAGAGTTCAGCAGGAAAACAAATCAGTAATTTCATTCAGGAGTGTTTTTATGCCCATGTCCTTGCTTGCCCCTCTGAAAACTTTCAAGTGATGAGACAAAGAATAGGTTTGAGTATCACCATGACATCCCTTGGAAGGAAAATGATGGGATACAAATATAATAAATAAATGAAGGTTAAAAGTCAAAGAAAAATGCCAAGGGGAGGAAGACCTTGTCTAAGCTGAAGTTCATCTAGTTTGGGGACTGCCCCTATGCTTGATCAGACATGTACAGCTTATACAGTTCCTTTATTCCCACAGCTCAGGAGCTTTCCTTGCTTATGGACAAACCCCTAGAGCCATAAAAATCACAGTTTGGAGTTATTTGCTCAACTCTGAAGTGTGATTACTGGAACAATAATAAGCAGACTAAAAGCATCAGGAGACTTTTGTTCTCAATTTTCTCTCACCTAATAAATTTTCCAAAAGCTGCTTAGTATATCTATGTGCAGAATCTTGTGTTCTGGTCCACAATAGTGAGGAACAATTGGTGGAGGTGATGTGTATAAATGTGTATGTTATAGATAATCATGAACTCTGGCAATATCACCACATAAAATATAGGCATACTTTTAAAGGATATGCAGTGAAGCTGGATGGATTACAGAAACATTCAGAGACAAAACATTCTTCTTCTAATCTGTTTAGACATAAACCACAGGAAGGCAACAATAAATTTATATAAATCCTGCAAATGTATGACACCTACCCTTCCCTCACAGCTCAATTCAGGGCCTTAATAGTAAGCAGCACAGTGTTATTTTGCCTTCAGTGGGATAAATCTGCCCATGCCCAGGCCCCGGCAAGTTGTGACATCACGTAAAAGAGAGCAGAACTTCCCACAGCAGTATCTGTGCAAATGGAAAGGTGAATGGAGGAGCAATTCCCAACATGCCATTGAACTCTTTTACTGTGAGAAGCAAGAAAAACCATCATCTCTGGAAAACTGCGTAAGTTTTCCACGTATCTAAGTGTATCCAATAATGAGACTATCATATAATGAGAAGATGGTCTTTCGAGAAAGCCCACTTGTATGTGGTTCTGCACTGGTCTATCCTAGAGCCATACTGCCCATGTTCCACAGCAGTCCTACTAACAGGCAGCTTCTGTGGATTCCACAGAATGTATCCACTCCAATCTGATATGGGATGGTACTGTTTCAATGCTGGAAACAGCCTTACCCTCAGAAGTTTTGTTGACAGTTCTTGCATGCATGATTGGTGCAAACAATAGGGTAAAAGAAGGAAAAGAGAGGCACCAAACCATCAATGACAAGGGAGAAACTTCTACGGGACACTACCGATGTTTTATTAAGGCCACTGTGTGTCAAGTGCAAGACTCTTCTGTATCCTTCTATATCGACTCAGAAGGCTGCCCCTAGTGAACCGGAGTCATGACAAAATGTCTAATGAATTGTAAAGGCTTCCTCTCACAAAGGATAGCATGTCAAGAGTGCAGAAGGGGGAACCAAGAACTTCCTTACTGCTTAGGAGTATTCTGCTGAGGTACTGAGATACTTATTTAAGCAAGACCTAAATTGTTCAAAGATTGGTAGCTGAAAGCAAGAACTGGCTTTGTAGAGAATGAGCTTCCCTTAAGAACATTAGAAGAGCCCTGCCGGATCAGAGCAAGGGTCCATCTTGTTCAGCACTCTGGTCACACAGTGGCCAAGCAATGAGGAAAATATGGGTGCTAAGTTCCCAGAAACTATCAGGACCAGTAGCCATCAATATTCCTCTCCTCCATAAATTTATCAACCCCCCTTTTAAAGCTGCCCAAATCGTCCCCATCACTGCATCTTGTGGAAATAAATTCCATCATCTAACATTGTGCTGTGTGAAGCACTTTCTCTCATGTGTCCTGAATCACCCATAAATCAGCTTCATGGGATGACCTGTAACTGCAGGCATCATGAGAGAAGGAAAAAATGTTTCCCCATCCACTTTCTCCAAACCAACACCTCTATATGTCTCCCATTATTTGCCTTTTTTCTAAGCTAAACAATCTCGGCTGTTGCAACCATTTCTCATAGCAGAGTTGCTCAGAGATCTTTTCATCATTTCGGATGCCCCTTTCTGCACTTTTTTCCAAATTCAAAATATCCTTTAAGTGTGGCAAACAGAAATGTACACAATATTTTAAGTGCAGCCATGCCATAGATTTTCGCAAGAGTAGTACTGACGCTGGCAGCTTTATTTTCAAAGCATTTCCCAATTACGCCTTATATGGAGTTTGCCTTTTTCACATACTAAACTGACATTTTCACTGAGCTCTCTACCACAACGCCATGATCTCTTACTTTGTCAATCACTGCCAACACACATCCCATCTGCTTATACTTAGAGCTGGCATTTTTTGCCCCATCGTGCATTACTTATCTTCAGCAGACCTCACTTTTTGAAACTGCAACTGGGTGTCTGGCCTAATCAATATAATTAACAGGATTGGACAGAAAACATCCTAACTACCAAACAAGTTCAGAATTTTAATTAAAGTCAGAGGCAGACAGAATTACTTGGAATTATTTTAGTTCTGTCTAATTTTTATTCCTTCTGGTACTGCCAGGAAATGAGTTATGTCAGCAGGAAGTGTCCCTGTGGTCCTTTCTCTGCTGTTACTCTAAAGCCTTAAGTGTGGTGATTAACTATAACAACAAATACTTTCAAATCAGTGCTGCTCTGACACATCAAACCATTGTGCACTATCTGTGCAGCCCTTTCCCCAAGAGCATCGCTTGGTATTATGTGACCAGCAGCTATCAAAATTTTAATTGCTTTTAAAAATGCCTCCTGAATTAACAGCGTAAAAGTGTACTGATGACAGATCATCCACAAGAGTAGTTCTCATATCCCCTAAGTTATCACATAAATGGTGTAATTATGATGACAGAAATGGCAGGATGGAATAGGGGCTGGTTTTGAAACTGTCTACCAGTTCATTTTTATATCAACTACCAAGATTCTGATGTCAAGTGAAGATATTTCTGTTCTCCCTGGGATTTCAAGTTCTGCATATATATATATATATTAGAGAGAGAAGGCGTGGGCAACCGCAGGAGGTCCAGGGGCCACTTTCACACAGCCCAAGCACCCCACCCCACAGGCTGCACCAGGGATAAAAGGAAATAAAAAGAAAACTGTTGGTTTGCCATAACACAAACAGCAAACTGATTCACAGCACTCAGTAGCACTAAAAAGGGTAGATTTAGCTTGTTTGACATTTCAAGAGCTCTGGTTCTGACTTCAGGCTGCTAAAATGGGCAAATTTCATTTGAAAACATAGCTTGTTTTAGTTATTTTCAAGGCACAGCAGAAGCCAATGTTGCTCTCTTTGATACAAGAAGCTGGTTTTATGCCATAAGGGAAGCACATCCTGGTTTCTGCTATCAGCTACAGGACTGAGCCCCCGAGAGGCTGCACTCCCTATTCACCAAGAGTATCAGCAAACCAAAAATGCGAACCAACACAGCCTATCCATTGGCCACAGAAGGAGTAGTTGCAAGGAGCTTGTTTTGCCTCCCTGCCAGAAAGAACACTTGGTTCCAACTGGCATTTGTCCTGGGATTGCAAAAGTAATGGGAGCATATGCTTGGCCCTACCCATCAGCCAAAAGAGCAAGAACCACCAATTACTACCTAAGCAAGACCACCACCTGCAAGAGAAGATCCACTTCCATTTAAATCTCCATTTACAGCTCACCACCTTGTGCTGGTCTTCAAAAACAGATCTCCCTCATGGTCCTTCTCCTGCCGCTCCCCTTCCCTTGCATGTCCCATTTTTTTAATTTATAAGCCCGCTGGACAGAGCCTGTCTCTTTACTGATGTGAACCTCTTTGTGTAAAAACTGAAATAAAGGCAGCACATTCCTGGGCTTCTTAGATAGTTTTGTATTGCTTTTTGTAGATCCATCTGGTATTTCTAATGGCAGGGTGAACATTTATAAGCAAACACAGAAATACAAACAATGAACCTGAGGAGATGCAGACTCTTGACTTTCTAGCATGTCTAAAAATGTAATGAAGGAGAATGTAATGTCCAAGGGAGGTAGAAGTTATATATAGACATTAAAAACCTACTATGAGCACAAAGTCAAAGTCAGGACCTTATTTTTCCAGAACCCACAAAACATACCTTGCTCTCTCAATGGCTTCTGTTCTATGAACATTGGACAGCTGACCAAGGCAAAAGCGGTCACCACCTGAAGGGTCCACATATCCATCAACAGTAACAATTGGACAGCTTGAAGGGACTTTGAATGTTTCACCAACTTGCACATCCATCTCAAAATAGGCAATCGAGCACCAGTACTCTGGAGCTGAAGATTGGGGGGGGGTGAAGGAAGCAAGAACTTAATGGAAAACACCAGAAGAACAAGCACCAAAGAATGAGTACAGGAAACTGATTTTTAAACTGGAGTTGCTCAAGCTTCTGCAAGTCTCCTCATGATGTGTTCTTGAAAACAGTGTGCTTTCAGCTCTGCCGAAGCTTTTGTTATTCCTCTCCCCCCACCCACCCTGCTTCTCTATCCCCTTCAGCTACCTCCTCTTCTTGCCATAAGTGCAGTGAGTAGAGGAATCAGTAGAGTCCTCCTATCTGAAGCAGAGTAGGAGATAAGGACTTTGAATAAACAAGGGTAATTTGAGGCAATAAAGCACACAGAGAGAATTAGCTTTTTCCTCCCCAGCTGCAGTGATTCTAAGAAAATCCCAGTCATGCAGGACAATTAGGCTTTTTAAAAAATCCACTGGTGTCAATGGAGGCTGCTGAAAGCCCAGTTGCCCGACAGAAGGGGAGATTTTCAGAGTCACAGTGTGTGAGGAGGGGATGGATAACCCTTCTCTCCCTTGCAGAGCTGTCCTGCTCAGCACTGCTCCAGACTTCTAAAAAGCCCAACTGCTGCCGTAGGCAGGCAACAGCAGCCAAGATGGGCCACAACCCCATTTCTGGCTTTAACGGCTTTTTCAAGGTCCTTGAAAAACATGGTGCTATGTTTTTAAAAGACTGTTCACACATCATATGAGCAAGGACTTTAAAGAGGGCAGAAAATACCATTCAATGTGAGAACAGAACAGCCATTTAAGTATGTTCATTAATATGCTTGCTTGGCACTAGCATCTTTTTAGCACCAGATGAAGGCATTTTCCCAAACTCTGGGACATCAATTTGCTGTGGGCTGCTTTCCTAGTGTACATTTTAGGCTGTGAGGAGGGGAAGTTTTTGTATATTGTAGATGAACAGATTTCTCTTTGCACTGTGTTTAAATTACATTTTATGATGGCTCTTATTATTTGCATTATTGTGCCAAATATAATTTATATGGGTCTAGTTTGTTCTGTTATATTAATTTCTAATGTCCATATTTGTATAAGTTGTTTTGAAACAGCTTAAATGCATAAATTAAACAACCGCAATAACAAGTAACAGCACTTACCCGGGTGATTTGATATAGGAGGTTGGAATGCAAGTTCATTATGAACTGGCCCTTTAAAATAAAGTAAAATGAAATTTTAAAAATCATGATGTTTATCCACTGCTATTACAATGTTTGCATTCTTAAAACTCAAGTTAGGCTAAGAATTGGCTTTAACTGGCTTTAATTTTGTAAACCATTTTGAGATTTTATAATCAGATTTTATAATATAATTTTGCACTGCCTAACATTTATTATAAAATCTGATTTCATAAAATCAGGATGGTTTACATAAATGCATTACATTACATAATTGAGTGTCTTTGCTTTATGTCCACTCCAGCCTTTACAGATAAACTCAAGAGTCCTTATGAAGACTGCCCAAAAACATAAGGCAGCAAGAGCTTGTGAAGTAGTATCCTAACCACTATTCAAAGAGTCATTTCTAAAACAATCTGCAGCTTCCAAAAAAGAAAAATAAGGAATGGGCAAGCATACCTAGTAGAACCACTGGGCTCCTACAAGCATTGTATCTGTATTGCACCCTTCCTCTGAAGAGCTCAGAACATACTACGTTCAGTTGAAATATTTCCTAGCCCAGTGATGGCAAACCTTTTAGAGACCGAGTGCCCAAACTGCAACCCAAAACCCACTTATTTACTGCAAAGTGTCAACACTGCAATAAAACCTGAATACTGAGGTTTTAGTTTAGAAAAAACAACTCATGTATTAACATCTTTTGTCTTAAAAGAAAAACACAATAACAAAGCTTTCAATGATACAAACATATATATCCTTGGCAGCGCACTGACCGGCCATGTGAAAGCTCAGACGAGTCGCAGCTAATGAGTTGTGGCTCATGATGTCATCACCTGACACCGCTACTTTCTGAGCATGCGCATGGCCCCTATGTGTGCTGTTCTCTGATGCTCAACTGCTAGGCCAATGCTGGGGCGACTTGGCTTGCATGCCAACAGAGAGGGCTCTGCGTGTCCGCTGCCCCACAAGTGCCATAGGTTCGCCACCACTGTCCTAGCCTGTGGAAAAGGCTGGGGAAGCAGGCAGTAATTTGCTCAAGACCAACCAGGGAGCTCCACAGCTGAACAAGTATTTAAGATCCGATTTCCCTAGTGCAATGTTCTATCTGCTACCATGGTGGCTTTTCTGCAGCCACTGCATTACTATCAGCGTGGCATGACAAAGGTGCTTACAGTAATGTCCAGGATGGGGCATAGGCGGGTGATGTTGAAGGTGTCCATTCTGATGGTGTGGGATGGTAGGTGTATAGGCTGCAGGTCGATTCCCAGTCCAAGTTGTTGTGCTGTCTTAAAAATAGAACAGAAAGGCCTGACAAACCTGATTTACATGGAATATTCTCTACTTCTTTAAAAAAGAAAAAAGACAAGTACCCCCAAACTCTAATACAGAACAGAAAACATCTTAAAACAACATGTTTGTTTGAGCAAAGTCTTTTATGAATGCCAATGACATGGACAGTGCCCACAGAAGCTCACTCCAAAGCACATGCATTAGCCTTTAAGGTACCACAGGAGCCTCTGTTGCTTCTGCTACAAGAGACCAACATGCTTACCCCATGGAAATAAACACAGTCGTTCACTTACTGTGGTGGTAAGTAGCTGGCTGAGCTGTAAAGCCATTCTGCTGTGTCCCTGGCTGAGGCCCTGAAGCAATCTGTAAAAGTCCATCACTGTGGCTACCTGGCAACATACTGGTGGGCTGACCTGGCAAAATGCACAACATTTCATAGCTGCTTTAAAAAAAATGAATGACCACTTTGTTGGAAGAATGAAGCATCTCAACTCTGCAGCCTGTGTGGGAGGACAGAGCTCTATTTTTTAAGACTACTATGAATTTGGCACAGTCATAAAACCACAAAATGAAAATAGCAGCCAGTTTCATTAATAAAATGGCCACTTAATGCTAAGTAACTTATAAATGGAATTTCCTTGTATATTCAGAACCTGCAACATGCAAGAAATAAACTGGTGCAAAATACTGCAAACTATGTTGTAACTGGGCCAAGAGAATTCCAGCCCACTGACTGACTAGAATAGACGGCTGTGGATCAAGCCAGATCAGTGCAAAGGGCTAGCAGAAGAGTGGTCTACTTTTGCTCCCACACAGCTTGTTTTGGCACCCTATGTAACTCAGTGGGTCTTGTTTGCTCCCTGTTCTTTTGATTGGATTGTACCTAAAGACAACAAAAACACTACTTGGCAATTAGAGCCAGAGACGTATGAACTTATTTTCTTGGCCTAGGAAGTTGTTTTATGACAGATTTAAAAGGCCTTAGAATTTACCTCTTCATACTCTTAATTTCTACCAGCCAGCCTTTTCCAACTGTTGTGCAGGCAATCCCATTAGAGTGAACAAACCATTAATGGCTTTAAAGCCCACTAACAAACTACTAAAGTATCACTTAAGTCCTCTAACTTCTGCATTTATTTCAGGGAACTGCACACACTTCCAACAATCTTTCTAGCCCTATGCAGGTGTTCTGGATCTCAAAAAGGCAAACCTGTGACATGAGGGAGCACAGTAGGTCTGCCCCTTCGTCCTCACTGCATTTATCGCTCCTGACTCACGGAGAGCAGCTGCCTGAAGAGGAAAGTATCTTTCCCTCATGCGGTCTCTCCGCAGAAGTCCCAATAACTATTTCAGGGTGTTCTGACTTACAAGCATCCGCAGATAGACCCTCTCCTCTTCAGACAGTTGCCCTTTATAAGTACAGGGCAATGGATGCAAAGGGGGAGAGGTGTGGGGCTCCCTCTTTTCATGTATTTGCTTTATTCAGGTGCTGAACACCACAACAGGATTCTGTGCCATGAGACTGACTTCAAAAAAATGGAGGAAGATGAACCTCGGGATGTGGAAGTGTGCAGCCAATACTACATTCCATATGTGCGTAAACAAAACTGAAGAGGCATTCAATATACAGAGCCACAGCCATTTCTGAGCTTTTGTCACTTTTCCTTTGCATTTTCAGATTTAGACTTCAGTAGAGCTTTGCAATAATCCCATCATTTGCACAATAGTGAGACTCAAATCACAACAGCATTCATTATCTGCCTTATTGCTCAGCTTAATGGTTATTTGGAAAATATGCTTCATATAATTTCCCGCAAACCTCTCCACCTTTCTCCACAAACCTCTTAAAGATCTTATATCTAGTTGTATGTCACAATGAATACTTTGCAGTAAGAAAATAGCCAAACAAAATGTCCAACTGGTTGAATCAACCAGGGTTTTCTAATATTTCTCCCACATTTTTGATGGAACTACTTTATTATTCCATTTCTAGCCTTTCTCTTTTACACATTTGTTCACTTTCGCTCTGTATTTTTAATGAGTTCAAGTGGTTATTGTTCTCTTACTTGTGGAAGCAACAGGAATGTTGGGAAAGTTGGTAGTGCTGGTAGCGCTAGACTCCGAAGGAGCTAACATGGCTGAGGTGCTGTAGGTTTCGGTAGATGCCCTGTTACTTGGTGGATGCTGTATAGTCTGAACTGAAAGGCCTTCGGCAGTTGAAAGTGATGGCTGCCCCTCAAATTCATGTACATATTCATCTTTCACCAACATACTTGAGGGTGCTGTGGTAAAATAAAAGGCCTAAATTAAAGAGGAAATTGTATGGGGAAAAATACGCTGAAAACTGCCCCATTTTCTTTTAACCCTCAGAAGAAAGAGGGTTGGTTATTTAACTGTGACCTATACAAAAAGCAGTGTTTTTAAATCACATGGTGATAAAATCAAGATAAGTGAATGGAGGAAGCTTTCTAATGTAAGAGCAGATCTACAATTAAATCATATGTTTCAGGAGTTATTCAAGGTAAGGTTGGATAGACATCCATTAGGGATGCTTTATTTTAGGCTATTTGGTCTTAACAGAATAATCCAAGAGGTTCACAGATCCTTCCCAGATCAGTTTCTACAATTTCACTATTTTCCCGGTCTATGCCTATTCAATTCCACTTTGTTGAACCTCCTGATCACACTGATTTTTCCCACATCTACCCTCCTGGAATTATATCAGAAATCTCTGGTTCCTATTTGGAATGTATGAATGTTTCAACTGTTTTGGATTATCAAGATCACACTAAGCAATGACAAGACAAAGATCATATGGGGACAATTATATGTTATATAATTAAATAACAATAATAAATGCACAATTATCCATGGATACACATTTGGGTGAGCAAATGATCTGATGCAACCGGTAACAGCAGAGTGCTTGCCTGTAACTGTTGTTTGAGCGGTCATCCGTGCCAGCATGGAGCCTAGAATCAGGAAACGCTTCTAAAGCGAAGCATTCAAAGTAGTGGGTGGAAGCCCCTCTGTTTCTTGTTCCAGAAAGCAATGGGAGGGTTCCCACACATCCCTTCAGCTACTATGGAGACCACCAAGAGTCTCAGGACTCGGAGATAAAAGATGCATTACCCCCATCCTTCCAGACCCAGAGTGTCCACAAGCAAAGGAGAGCCTGTTGCTTATGATGGATGACAGCAAGTGAGGCCAGAGGGTCGGTAGTGTGAAAGCACAGGTGACCACTCAAAGAACAGTTACAGGTAAGCAACCTGCCTTTCTTCTTTGTGGTCTCTGTGCATCACACACATGGGAGACTAGCTTGCTTACCTGGTAGAGGACTGCAGGAGCTGTGGTCATTGAAGGATAGAGGAGAAGACGGCCTTACAGAAGGCATAGTCTCCTCTCACTTGGACGTCTTGTCTATGGTGCTTGACAAAAGTCAAAAGGTAGACCACATGGCAGCTCTGCAGACCTCCTAGAACAGGACTCTGACGAAGAAGGCTGTGGAGGTGGCCAGGGCTCAAGTGAAGTGGGCCCTCGGCTGCAATTTGAGCTGAAGACCAGAGATCTCCTAAGTAAGGGAGATGGTCCAGGAAACCCATCTGGATAGTTTTTGGGAGGAAATAGGGTCCCCTTTCTTCGGCCGTTTGTAGCAAACAAAGGGCCTAGGCAAGCAACAGAGGTGCTCAATTCTGGACTTGTAGAAGGTGAGTGCTCTTCTGGCATTCAGCAGATGCAGGGTGGATTCTATTGGCTTGGATGGGTTGGCTAAGGAGCAGGGAACACAATGCATAGGTCCAGGTGGAAGGCAGAGTTAACTTTGAGTCAAGGCCAGGTCTGAGTGGAGAAAAGCCTTGTCCCAGTGGAAGTTAAGGAAAAGCGGGTCCACCCAGAAGGGTCAGAGCTCACTGGTGTAGTAAGCTAATGTGATGGCCTCTAGGAAGGCTGCCTTCCCGGAGAGGTGGTGCAGGCTGGTTGTTATGAGAAATCTTTTAGTGAATGCCTGTAGCACAATTGAGAGGCTTCAAACACAGGTGGAGTATCTGGTGGAGGGGGCAATGTTACAGAGCCCTCTCAGGATTTGTACAATGGGGGGGGGGTGCGCATGACAACAGAGAACCCGTGGATGGGAGGGTGGAAGGAGGAGATTGTCACCAGGTAGACACAAAGATCTCATCCCTGAAGCAGGTTTGTAGGAACAGGAGGATTTGTTCTATTCCAGAGGTAAGGAGGTTGAAGCTTTCACGGTGGGTGAATGCAGTGAAGGCACCATACTGAGACACACAGAATTCCTGAATGGACAGTTTGAGGGCTGCATCCAGGATGGTGGACACTTCCAGCAGCAGGGTCAGCCATGCACATGTGGAGTGATCCCCCTGGCTGCCAGTTTTAGGGTCCCGATGACTGGGTGGACGACGTGGCCCGTTTAGTGAGAGTAGGTCATGGGTGCATAAGAGGCAAGAGTGGCTCCCTCTGGAAAGCCAGAGGAGTTTGGGAAACCACGACTGCTGTGGCCACCAGAGGGTGATGAGAATGTAATCAGTGTGGATCCCCTGGATTTTGGAGACCACCCTGGTGATCAGCAGGAAGAATGGGAGCAGGTAGGACAGGGTCCTGGTCCATTTGGGGAAGGCATCTCTAAAGGAGCTAGTTCTTGCCCTGCCCTGGAACAGAACTGTGGGAAGGTGGTGTTTCTGGGGGTGGTGAACAGGTCTACCAACGGAAGGCCCCACCAGCCGTGCAAGTCCTGCAGAACCATCTCACTCAGCTCCTGTTCACAGATGTTGAGATGTGAGCTGAGGATGTCAGCCAGGACATTGTCTTTGCCTGCCACATGAATCACTGTGAGAGGGATACATCTGGCGATGCACCAATTCCAGATGGTTGTGACAAGATCGGTGAGCCGAGTGGAGAGTGTGCTGCCCTGCTTGTTGATTTAATACATCACCACGGTGTTCTCATGGTAGCCTACATATGTTGGCCTAGGAAGGTGTTCTGGAAGGAGATGAGAGCTTTGTGGACTGCCAGCATATTCAGGTAGTTGATGTGCTTGATGTCTTGCCTCATGGCAGTCCCATGACCCATGTGTCGTCAGGCTGTTGTAGTGTGCTCCCCAGGCTGAGTTGGAGGTGCCTGTGCTGACAATGATGGAGGGTTCCAGGGGGAGGAAGCAGATAAATGCCAAGTGTTTCTGTGGGGTAGCCCACCAGCACAGACCATCCTGGACTGGAGGAGGGACCATGAGCAAGGTGTTGGGGGAGTTGTCCTCCAGGTAGTAGCTATGGATGAACCATAGCAACCACATGCATAATCTGATGAAGGAGACTACCACTGCCATAGCTGCCGTGAGTCTGAGGAATCTCTGAATCTGTGAGCTGTGGTATGGTCTGCTGTGCTGACATCGGTCGCCAGGTCTGTAGCTGTAGCTCAGGGCTCTGGCAGAAACATCCTTGCTGTGGCTGAGTTGAGGCAGGCCTCTAAGAAGAGTATGGACTGGGAAGGGGAGAGAAGAAAAATGTCTGTAGTTCTGGAGGGTCATGATGGAATGGGCGGGAACTCCTCCCATGGTCTCCTGGGAACAGGAAAGTGAAAGGCTCCTGACCACTACTTTGAACACTTAGCTTCAGAAGCTTTTCCTGATTGTAGGCTCCACACTGGCAAAAAATCCCATATGATGCACAGAGACCACGAAGAAGAAACTATAATACTTAAAACTATACACAGGATTGATGCTACAGATATACAGAGCCAGTGTCAGCATCCTACACTCAAAATGGCAGCACTTGTAAAATAGTGAGTTATTTAACATGTGGAGATCTTTTTCCTTCCACAGCATGCAATGAAAATGGATCTAATTCCAGATCAGTAAAAAATGTAACCCCTGCTGAAATAAAGTTTGGCTTTATATATTTTAAACAAACTTAAAACATAAACCAATTAATCCAAGTTAATCATATTGTGTTGGTGAACTCATGAAATAAATGTGTAATTTGAAATCTGATTGTAAATATATGCAAGCCTTCAATTCAGACCGCTAAATTAAAATTAAAATTTTGGTTGTAAAAATTATTAGCTCACAATATCCAGGGGTACCAAATCTAATAATGTAAAAGCAATTACGTGGTCAGGGAACCCCAAATTAAGAATTTGCAATGCCACAGCATTTTATGCCTGATTTTTTCCTAATCCTTTTAAGACAGATTAAGAATATTAACAAGATATTTCCCCCATTCCATCTTTTCCTTAATGGCTCTTTAACTGAAAAAAGACTGATATAATAAGAAGTACACTTTCTTATGATATGCATAGCTACATATAGTACTATGAATATTGTCTCCACTAGAAGCAAACATATATTTTCCTAGAAATTATTTTTGTTTAAATTCCACAGAATTTCATTTATTGCTTACCAGAACTCTGTAGCGTCAATCCTGAAAGATCTGTAAAGTGGAAAAAACACAAATCATTAGTCTAGCTTTAAAGCAAATATTTTACCATTTGTAAAGTCTACAAACAGAAGGAGAAGAATAATTGCAAGAATACCATATGCATCTGCAAAGCACAATGAAAACTTTATTTCAGTGTTATGTAGCAAACTTGGAAATGGTGAAATGTTTTCCCTTAAACCCCCACTAAAATAAGTTTATTTCCAGGTGAAGTTTTTAATACCTATATTCATTTATAACAATCATTTATTTATTTGATTTATATCCTACCTTTTCCTTTTTTAAAGAACTCAAAGCAGCTTACATCATTCTCCTCCCCTTGCTCTCAACCTTATCCACACAACAACAATCCTGTCAAGCAGGCTGGAATGAGAGCCTGTAACTGCCCCAAAGTCACCCAGACGGCTCCACAGCTGAGCAGGGACTAGAACCCAGATCACCTGAATCCCAGTTCCATACTACACCACACTAGCTCTCCCTAACTGCACACTCCCTAACTCTGGTACTAATAACTGAGATGTTATTCCATTATGAAATAATTCCTTATTCAGCCAATGAGGTTACAAATTTTTAAAGTAAATATCTCCAACACTTGATCATGTCCATCATCAGACTCTTCTCCAATTACTCTCAGAGAAACTTTTAATGATCCTTCAAAAGGAAGAATGGCCCATGAGACACTTTCAAATCCCTTCCAGAATGTTAGACAGGTCAAATAATTGCAGTAAATGAGATCAGTGAGGATTCCCATGGACCACTACAGAATCTTTCAAAGAACTCTGTCCAAGTGGAAAGGCACAAATTCTTTATTTGTGTCATCCCCACAGCTGGTTCCTCCTCTCCTTCCCTAATGCAAAACATTACTCCCAGAGGAAGTATTCTGACAGACTTGACCTATATCCCCACTACAGTGGGAGGAAAAGTCTGGCAGGAAGATAACTGTTCCCTCCCAAATCTTCCATGCTCTGATTTAATTTGTGTGAGAAACAGAACAAACATGCACATATAATAAATAAATAAAAAGAGCTGCTGGTGTGAAGAGCAAGACTATTCTGCTACCTGGGGGCTGTAACTTGCTTCTGCCAATCATGGCCTTCCTGTTGCTCCCTCCCACTAAAATGAACAGAAAGCAGCTAACAGCAGTTGCTGGAGAAAGCAGCTGCTTACAAGCCAAACTGTATGCCCCCACCCTCAGCAAAGCAATACAACACAACTGAGTTCTAGAAGAATGGTCCCTTGCCCAGACTCTTGAGGGTTGGGTGAGAACCTGAATCTGAAACCTCATAGAAGAGAACCACAAATCATGAAAGAGCATGCAAGAAATCAAGGAGAATACAGAATTTGTGTTATTAAATAACCTGCTATTACAAGTTTAACCCCACAATCCATACAGGATCATGAACATACTTACCAATGCCAGGTGACACAACACGTTCATAATGATATGGATTTACACATACGCTGTCACATTTCAAGTCAAAAGCATACTGGCAATATTTGACGTGCTTGAGTTCATTTTTGTGGAGATCAGGCCACCTCCATAAACGTGCATAAATTACATGAGGAAATCCTTTACGACCAGCCACCTGGAAAGATTGGAAATCATAACATAGCTGAGAAAGAGCACCCACTGAAAATGTCAAAATATGGCCATGGTGTAAGCTAAATACAAGCAGGGTATTGGTTAAGAGTGTTCAGCACAGACTCCAGAAACCTGATCTAGCCCTTACTTAGCCATAAAGTTCACTGGGTGGGTCTGAGGCAGTCAATGACTTTTTGCCTAACCTACCTCACAGGGCTGTTGTGAGGATAAAATGGAGAGGAGGATTACATAAACCACACTGGATTTCTTACATGGATATTCCTTTTGCAATAGGAAATAAATAAGTATTTTACGACCTGCAAGCAGGAGGTTCCCTACTCCTGCTTCATGTCCTGTGAGAAGCTAACACAAGAATAGAACCCTATCTACAAATTTCACATGCATTTGCCCCGTCCACAGGCAAGCTGCACATTTTATTTACTGAATTTCTATGCCACCCATGAGCCAAAGCTCCCTGCGCAGTTTGCGAAAGACATTGTTCCCCTGCCTCCCCGCCACACAAAAATACAACCATTTAGGTATCAGATACGTTTCTACTAACCTGAAGCCTACCATCCAACGTTCTCTGAATTGTCACACATTTGCTAGGATGAGCTCCATTTGTAGTTATAGCTGTAATCAAAGAATCCAATTCATCTTTTTTCTCTTTCAATTTTTTTACCAAGCTTTCAATTGCTCGTTTTGCAAATGTTTCACTTTCCCCTCCTTGTCGATGGCACATCAAACTGTGAACAATGCTCAGACAAGCATCATTACTTGTTGGTGTGTTAGTAATAGACATATTGTCCATTTGACAGTTTTTAATTCCAGACCAAATACACCTATCAGTGAGAAGGCCAAAAACTGTATATGCTGAACACCTAAAAGAAAAAGAAAATATCACAACTGTTAGGAGAGTGACCACAAAATATTCACTGTTTGACCATCAAAAACATTTTGCCCTTTTCCCATGTGCATTAAAAATACTTTTATAGAAATGCATTCACAGTAAAAAGAAAAAGAAAAAACCATATTCCTGATCTACAACTGCATGATCCTTCCTGTATCTGCCAAATCTCTGCCCTCCCCTTCCTCAAAGTTGCTCAAAAAAAATATGCATGATTGTATCATTTTATTCTAGCAACACAGCAGGTTAGACAGCTGAGCAGGTATCTGAAAATAAGTCTCTCTAAGAGTCTGACACTTGGTCTGCTTCATTTTTTTTAATAAGGAAACCACTGTATTTTAAATAGAATTAGGGCTTTGATTTAAGTTGATGAATCACTCAGATGAACTCATCACAAATTTATACATCAGTGATAATTGTTTTATGATGTTTATATGAAGCTCTATTAAAGATTCAACACACTAGTAAAGAAATAACTGAATAATAGTACTTTAAGCAGAAATTGTGAAAACTCGTTCAAATGTCTGCTTCTGTTCAGTTTTTGCAATGGAAATGTGAATCCCCAAAGAGTCATACTGGCCATTGCAGAGTGGGACCTCAAAATACACACATGGGTCTCCATAACAAAAAGAACTTTAGGATCAAAGTATGACTATTTGCACTAAAGGCCACTTAAAAGGATCTTCTGCAATTACTGTACCTATGTATATGTTATGTAGACAAACATGACAAGCATGTGGCATGCTTTGACAAAAGGAGGAGTTGCTGAAGATTAAAAGTTCCAAGGTATGGGAAACAGAGCTGATGATCTTCAAGCAATTAATGTAAGCCTATAAAACTGAGTGGGAAGAGACAAGAAGACATCAGAATGAAGCTGAAAATACAGGGTTAAATTATAATGTGATCTGCATTCCACACTTGATTGTGGCCCATATATCTCATCAATTCAACTCTGGTTTACCCACTCAAGTAAATATCACTAAGTATAAAATAATGATTCCAAATAATATGAATAAAGAAGGATATCAAACTATATAATGGTAACAATGGCAGAGTAGAGTTCCAAAGAAATAAGGGAGTAACTTGAATGCTGGATCAAAAAATATTTCTGAAGTTGACTATCCCACAGATTATTCAGGTAAAGAGCAAGACAATGGACATAACCAGAGGTGCATATTTCATTCAGGGCAATAATGAACCTTACAAAGTACACAGCTACCATAAGAAATGGGGACTTACAAATAGAATCCCTCCCTCTCCTTCCAATTTACAATCTCAAGAAAAGCACTACCGCATCAAATCAAAGGGCTATCTAGCCCACTATTCTGTGACTCTCAGACCCAATTACATACCTAACCAAGGCATACAAGGAGGTCATAAGAACAACATCCCTCTTCTGCTCCTACTCCCCAGCAACTGGTTTTGAAATGCATGCTGCCTTGAACCTGGAAGTAGCATACAGCTATCTTGACCAGTGACTTTAATCTACAAAGCGATAAGGATAGCCTTAATCTCTGCGAATTCTAAAGCCTTCTAACTTGGTGGTCATCTTCACGTTTTGCAGTAGTCATTCCATGCATTGTGTGCAAAAGTATTTCCTTTTGTCTGTCCCAAAACCCCTACCAGTCTTTGGTTGACTCCACACTCTAATATTATGAGAAAAAGAAAACAGCTTCTCCCTATCTGTTTACTCCACACCATGAATAATTTTATAGACCTGTATCATGTCCTCCTTACTCACCAAACATCAGTAAAGTGCCTCCTTCATTTTAACTTTTCACATATGGAATTTGTTCTAGCCATTTGATTGTTTTGATTGCCTATTTCTGTCCCTTTTCCAGCTCTGTAATATCCTTTCTGCTGTGATTTTTGAGGTGAACAAAATACAGAATACAGTTATCTATGTGAATGCATCATACTTGAGTAGAACTTTATTATGCCCAATACTCAAAGCAGTAGCAGCAAAACTTGTATTTATTATTGCACTTCTATTCCACCTTTTTTCGGCTCTTTCAAAGAACCCAGGATGCGATAGATTACAAGGGCAGGAAGAGCTCAACATGTTGGGAAGCTGTCAGACTTGCTTGCCATTTGCAGAAGCTACCATACATAGTTTGGCAATATCCATTCATAGTGGAGACAACCTGGTGGGGAGGGTGTTTGACCTGAAAAACAGGCAATGGGGCAAGTGCTGGCAATTCCTGCACCACCACTGCTCTGTTCAAATGGGTCCTCCCTGGCTAAAGGTTTTGCTTTTCTTAGTTCATTATACCTGGCTTCTCCCTTAAGAATCCTAAACATGCTAGACTCTCTTTGCAACAGGACAGACCAGCCTCCCAAAACCCAGTGCCTGCCAATGATTTGGATCACAATTCCCAGAGTTCCTGACCACTAGCCATGGTGGAGTTGAAATGTAAAACATCTGGAGAGCCCTAGATTAGGGAAGACGATAATGAACCACAGCCCCCTCCACATTATTATCTGGTACCACGTCAGAGCCCCCATCCCCCCCGGACTGCAGAGTTTCTCCCAACCCATTTAAATCCATCTATCTATGGATGTCTGAGGGAAAGCCTATGTGTGCATGCCTCCATGGGAGTTAGCTAGAACATGAGTTGTAGGTCTCTTATCTGCCTATATATGCATAGGATTGTGCCTTATGTAGGCTTTCTCCCAGTGGATGTCCAAGCCTAATACATAAACACTGGGTGCAGGGTCTTGGGAAGCTGTCAGACCTGCTACCCAGTAAGCAGGTGAAAAGTCTGCAGTGAATTCAGCTTCTGCTTGGCCTAACTTGATGGTGAGCCCAGGCCAACCCTAACAGCCTGTGTGCATGCACTCTGCAAAGAAAGCAAGGAACAGCATGATGGCATTTTATAACTGATAAATTCTTCCTTTCTGTAAGCTGTACATTTCTAATACTGAAGAGGTTGTACATTTCCCCACTAATTAAAGTCTTTCTAGATCTTGATAAATATACTGAGTTACCCAATCTCAAAATGATTATACTACTTTGTATCACTTTTCAATTAAGCTCTAATGTCCCACTGACAGTTACGGTTCAGGATAGCTTGGATGTTATAAAATAAGTTCCAAGAGAGCATTAGCAAGACAGAAGTGTCCTGCTGAGCAACAAAGCCATAGTCAGAATGCCCTCTCTGCATGTGTGGCTTAAGTCTGTCTCCAACAAAATACAGATTCAAGCTGACCAATGGACTTTCTAACTGATGCAATGGAATTCAAACAGATGGTAGCTCTTCCAATTAGCAGTGCTATGCTGTGCAATGTGCTGCCTCTTTTCATTCCTAGGGATATTTCTGTCCCAAAGGGGTATTTCAACAATTAAGAGACAGCGTTTGGAAGCATGCATGACAAAGATTATGCTGTGCCTGCTTTAAATGTCTTTGCATAGCTTGGATCCCATTTATTCTACTTACTGGGGAGACAAAGATAAAACAATACAAGTAAGGATCTCTGAAAATTCACAGAGGATTATCAGTGTCAATTAAAATGTTAAAGCTCCTGCCTTCCTTCAGTTCTTCAATTTTCCCGGGTTTCTCCTTCTTTTACAATCCTTTTTTCTTTTTTATAAATAAAAAACAGAAACAAAAAGAAAAACTTGCAAAGGGCCCTCTACAAAAATTGCGTATAAAATTATATACAATAAGTTTCACAATGAATCAGCCTTACAATTCTTTTTTTCACTGCAGAATTGGAAGAACACTCAGGTCAGCAGGTGCTCATACACAACCAAATCCCCTTTTACTATTAATATTTCCATCCACCTCTCTGCCCTACTACCAAGTTCTAGGGATAGTTCTTCTATAATGCCTCCTGCCTTCATATACAATCCTCACCAGTAAGAACTTTGAAAGAGAGTTGTTCTAGTGTCCTGCTCTTTAACCAGTAGAGAAGGGTATCTATAAATTACTGTGATGTGCTTGAAACTAAAGGAAACTGCTACCAACATACATGTGTAAGCCTCAGCATGCAATTATTTGGAGACTGCTAGGAAGAACACTGCAGCCTCCCACTGCTATTCAAGCAGCATGGACAGAATCTACCATGCTACAGACCCCACCATTCCTGCACCAGCAATTCGCATTCTTCACCTCCCCCACCTTCATTAGGGGAAATATTAATATATATAGACTATTATATATTTGACACAGGTGCAAACACAGGAATCTAAAAATGCATCTCATAATATGTCTAACAGATGCAAGCTGCCTCAGACTATACTACTGTGCCATCAACTCCATGTGCCCTGGCTCCCATCCCACAGCAATACCCAACTAACAAAGAATACCTACAGGCCTCAGGCGTCCACTGCAGTGCAACTCAGTGCAGGAAGAGGGGACAACTTACGTTCACATTTATGCCCACGATTATAGGTCCTTTGGCCCTAAATGTCCTTCCTGTAACATTCTTCTCATGTCAACTGTTTCCATTTTCCTCCTTGACACAGGAATGTACCGCCTCCACCCTGCAGGCTCTTCTCCCTTGCTTTCTAGTTACACAACTTGGTCCCAAAGGCCTCAACTTGGCTAGCCTTGGCAATCTCCTGTCCTTGGCCCCCTTTCCACCCAATACATTTCAGTTACTCCACTCCTACCTAGAGGGCTGATTCCAGGTGCTGATGGCAGCAGTATCATTTACGTATGGCATCCTGTATCTAATCTCACCTCCAATGCTATTCCATCAACATCTGTACCCACCTTACTTCCTTTGGTAGGGGTTCCAAGAGAAGGACTGCTGAGGATGATCTTAGGGCAGGTATATATGGGAATAGATGATCCTTGAGGTAACCTGGCCCTAAGGCATTTAGGGCTCTGAATGTTAACACCAGCACTTGAAATAGGCCGGGACATGGAATAGCAGCCAGCACAGATGGTGATGTCCTAGGCTACTATGATCACATTGGCCAGTCTCCATTAGCAATCTTGCTGCCCTAGCTGAAGTTTCTGGACTGTT